TTTATGTTTGAAATGCAAACACACACTGTGGCCAAACATCTCTCTGAATACCTTTCAAGTCTAAAGGCCCCAGAGGTTATTAGGAGTACATAGACATTACACTGGATCTCAGGACAGTGGTGATTTTCAATTTGAACTCTTTTGCTTTTTTAACATCATAAACTATAAAGCAAGATAATTTACCTTTCTCAGTAGAAAATTTTCCAAAACACATCTAGAATGATACAACAGTAATTACGCAAAAACGCTTCCATCATTTATCTTTCCTCAAAATATATCATAAAAATGAAAAATATTACAGATCTACAATTCTGTGTATGAGATATGACTATGAAGATAAAATATTTTTTTTCTTTTTGAAATATTAATTTCATATTTGGCCAATAAAAACTCAGGCTTCAAATATCCTTTCTGTCCAAACAAAGGGAGAAAAACTATGCAAAATAAAAAAACTACATACCTAAAAAAAAAAAAAATCAAAGGTGCTAAAACCTCGAGCTTTGATTTTGTAACTTTAATGTGAGAACAAGATGGTATTTATATGGCATAAGATTCCTGCCCATTTGAAAAAGCAGCATTTATATATAAAATACAGAGTAGTTCTGAACTAAATAAAATTGTTTTGAAAAAAACATTATCATTAATCCTTCTTATAAAATATTCAAAGTTATTTTTTCAGGGAAGTATAATAAAAGAAGTAACTTCACATTTCAAAAGTAAAGTAACAAAAAACTGCTATATTTGACATTATCACACACCTTTCATAAATTTCACACATTTCTTGAAAAAATTAAACTTGACAACTGTGAGCTTTCCAGAGCTTTGATGTAAGCAGATACAGAAAAGAATAGAAAAGCTGTAAGGGAAAGGAAAGGAACATTCATTTCAGCAGAACAGGACAAATGAACCTGAGTGGTAAGGTGTACAGGCTGGTATGCAATTTGGCAACAATAAACAAACATCATGCACGTACATCTATAAATATGAAAATCAAATTGCAAAGTTGAAAAGCTTCCAAATTAAAGGTGGAATATGTACAAGAAAAAAGCTATTTACATAATTATAACTAAAATAGGGAAAAAAAAAAAAAAAACAAAAACGAAACAAAACAGAGTTCTGATAACTTGCATAACTAAGTCAATTTAGAAGAATCAAATTATAGGAATCCTTATTAATTAACTTGAAAGGGTTTTTTGGTTTTGTTTCTTTAAAATGTAGAATATTCAGAATGTAGAATTTTAAATGCAGAAGAAATTCTTAAGTTTCAATGCAGATGGCATTAAAACAAACCAGTAGTATCAAAAAAGTTTGAGATATCCAAGGCTATAGTTATAAAAGATACAAACAACATTTTTATTATTATTGTTGTTTTTCAAATGTCCCACTCCCTAATAATCTGACTATCGCTTCACCAGACATGTTCAGCTAGTACTTTAGGCTGCTATAGGACCCAAACTTGGAAACCAGCCATTCTTCTGAGAACTGATGAAGTCCTGGGAACCCTAACAACTTTTCAGAACATAGCTACTGAATTGTAATAATCCAAGGAGTAATCTTTCAGATGGTTACCTGTACCATGCATTATGTAGACTTAAAAACAAAAAAGGCCACTTGATTCCATCATTACTTGCAGCAGATGTATTTATGAATTGCAGTCTATTATTATTCTGCCTATCAATATATTTTCATCTTCAGTAGACTAAGTCATCACTGAAAAAGCAAGATATACTCAAATTTGTAAAGTTCTTAATGATTACAATACAAAGAAGGAAAAAGGTATCATTTAAAATTTCAGAAGACAAAGTAAAAATAAAAGAGACTGGAATCTTTAAAAGTCTTAAAGCAAACTACAGAGAAAACAGATCAAGACGCCACAGCTGGAAGTATACTATAGACTGTTGTTAAGTCAGGAATCGTTAAAGTGGGTAAAAAAAAAAAAGCATAGAAATATCATGTGGATAACTTAAATGACAGAACAGCCTTTTTTTTTTTTTTTTTTTTTTAAAGCAGTATTTTCCAAACTGAAGAAAAAGGAGAAAAAAGGAAGGTGACGAAAAAGAAAATATGCTTCTGGGAGCTGTAACACTTTATATTGTTTCCAGGAATTAATACAAAATGAATATTGAGTAATAACCTTTTTGTCCAAAAGAGACGTATTAAGCACAAAAAGATAGAGCTATGAAAGTAAGCTAGTAGATCTATTTTGCTCACCAGAGCAAATTTTGACTCATCATTCTGAGTATCACTCTCACGTCTTCATAACTAGAAAGAGTTATTGCAATGGCCAAAACTTCCATTGTAATAAAAAAGGCAGTTACAAGTGAGCAACTCATAACACCAATTTAAAGTCCTCAAATCTCTTTTATTTATTATTTTATTTAGATATGCACAATGGGGACAAATACTTATAAAACATCACTAATCAAAAGTTATCCCTTATGAGAAAAGGTATTCTTGATTACAGAAAGCAGCTGCTATCATACATCTCAGCAATCTACTTTTGTGAGCTTTACCAGTCCAAAATCAGTGTTCATTGACAAGCACTACTGTTTATTTATTTGTGAAGTTTACGTTTTCTTGAGATCACTACTTCAAAGAAAATCATGCAGGTGTCACTATAAAAAAATCAATATGATACATAAAGTATATTCATTCAAACCTCACCAATAAATAAACAGATGTTAAAACATAAACTTTATCAACCCTAAGTTATTGAGTGTTTCTAATGTAATCTTGCAGAGATTCAGCCTTGTCTCAGTCTTGTTATCACTGATATAGAATAAAGCATACAGTTATTGCCAATGAGATGTTAAGTTGATAAAAAGGCTGGCTGAGTACTGGGTAATGAAGGGAACAGGTCAATAGTAGAGATACAACCATATTCTGGAATGCACTAGTTCGACAAAGCGATTAGGAAAAATGTGAAATTTATCAGTGCAATGCTTCAAGAAAAGTCCTAGTCAGGCTGCATCAAGAGAAATGTGGCCCTCAGGTCGAGGGAGGTGATTCTCCCCCTCTACTCTGCTCTGGTGAGACCCCACCTGGAGTGCTGCATCCAGTTCTGGAGCCCCCATTACAAAAGGGACGTGGACCTGTGGGAGCGTGTCCAGAGAAGGGCCACCAGAATGATCCGAGGACTGGAGCAGCTCTCCTGCGAGGACAAACTGAGAGAGTTGGGGCTGTTCAGTCTGGAGAAGAGAAGGCTCCGAGGTGACCTTATTGTGGCCTTCCAGTATCTTAGGGGGGCCTACAAGAAAGCTGGGGAGGGACTTTTTAGGATATTGAGTAATGACAGGACTAGGGAGAATGGGGCAAAGCTGGAAGTGGGCAGACTCAGGCTGGACATGAGGAAGTAGTTCTTCACCATGAGAGTGGTGAGACCCTGGAATGGGTTGCCCAGGGAGGTGGTTGAGGTCCCATCCCTGGGGGTCTTTAAGGCCAGGCTGGATGAGGCTCTAGGCAGCCTGATCTAGTGGGAGGTGTTCCCTGCTCATGGCAGAGGGGTTGGAACTGGGTGATCCTTGTGGTCCCTTCCGACCCTGACAGAATCTGATCTGTTTTAGCAGAGGACTTTAGAGCCCTAATGGCTCAATGGTTGGACTCGATGATCTTGGAGGTCCCTTCCAACCTAAAGGATTCTATGATATCCGAGACAATGTAACAGGAGTGTAAGGGGAGAGGGACAGGCAAGGTCTGTCTACTACAATTAAAAAGAAGCATTACTTGGCAATGCAGTGGTTCTTATATAAAAAATTTAAAAACTTCTCAAGGGATTTAAGATATACTAATAGTCTAGAAAGCATGCTTTTACTGTAAGACACTAGAACAAGTTAATTTACATTTTATATAAAAAAAAGAAAATCAAAAGATATGTTTATGAACTGCAATTAACAGTAAAAGAAAACATTGTAGTAAAACTGCTGGTTTTAGCATAACAAGAATTTATGTCTGAAAATGAGTGAGCCATGTTCAAATTATATATCAGGTATGTACTTTTCAATTAGTAGAATAAATGAAACAGAATTTCAGAACATGCTTTATAATTCCTAAATTGTCTAATGAAACAGACTATAGATAACTAAACAGTTACCAACTGGATGAAATTATATGGTTTGTGTTATATAAAAGGTTTGAATCACACTGGCGTTTGTATCTATGCACCTGTGAAAATTCATTCTAGCTTTAAACATCAAAATATATATTGGTAGGTAAATGCTTCTTAATAAAGAATAAAACTATTGGGAATTTTTTTTTTTTATTATCTCCAAATTCATAATAATAGTTGCAGCAGACAATCAGAACAGACACTTCTGGAAAGTTTTTAGTTTGTGTTAAAATTAAATTAAAATTACTATTTCAAAATTATAGTGTGAAAATTAGTGGACATTTATTTTTACATAACTAAATATAAGTAATTATAGGTAAAAAATACCCTATTCACCACAGTGAATTTGTTAACAATAGAAATGAAAAAGACATTTCTTTTGATCTATTTTATATGCTATCCCAATTAAATTTCTCTATGATTAAAAAATTCAACAATAGTCAAGTAATAAGGATGATGAAAATCAATGTTAAATTCTTGTTACTTTCCTTGGAAGTAATAACATGATGTCAGATCAGTAAATGAAAACAATAAATTTTGCCAATTAGAATCATCAGGCTAATAGCCAAACAACATTTTTTCTAAATTAACAGCTTTTGCTCTCTCATACGATGATGAACTGAAAAGCTCTGTGAAGGAATCAAATATTTTAGACAATAATAAAGAAAGTGAAATTACTCATCAACTAACATAACTCTAAAATTGGGATAACTTACTTACAGTTTAGATGAGAGTAAATATCCATGACTAACAACTGGAGTTCATTCATGACAAGAATTCCTAGGCAACTGTAACATATACTACAGTCTGTTCATTACTGTTGTAATTAGTATAGCATTTACTATTAGCTTCCCTATATAGCTGTATTTATGGAAAAGCAAATATAATTGCTTACCAAGATGGTGGTAACGATTAAAGAGCGATTGGACAGGGAATCTGTGATGTTTGCTGGTTTGCCTTTCTGATTCTCTGTCATGTTAAGGCCACTCAATGGATCCCAAGTTCCAACCTATAAAATAGCAAATTACTGTGTAAATCGTTCATTAGTTACATTGCAGCACCTAAAAAAGTGCACTTTAAGGAAAA